TTGCATGAGGATTAGGTCAGTGAAGAATGAGAGGTGGACATTACCGTCCTGACCCAAATATGACAGTGTTGGTATAACCTTTACATTTGATACCGTCACAACAAAGTCACTTTGATGTTACAAAACCTCATATGATGCCAAGACCTGGTAGAACCACCAAACCTGGAGCAGTCTGCAGCCATTTATTTGAAGAACGTGTCTTGGGTTGTAAGAAAGCAAAAGCAAAATAAAAACGGCTTCTGTGGAGGCATTGTGAATGCAAATGCCTCAATAACATTTAAAAATTTACATCTAGAAAAGGTTCAAACAGCAATTTTAAAGATACCTTTTAAAGTCACATTTTTTCACCAGGGTTTCACTATGCTCAGCATGTTCCATACTGAGAAGGAAGATGGGGCAGGAAAAGAAAGCTCTGGTGAAGTAATGAAAAAGATTAAGAATACCTCCACATTATGCATGAACTACAGAAGAAACCTTGGTCACACTTACTGTGAAAGAGGCACTGGGAGTGGTGAAAAATTCTTAAAAAAGACAAATACCTGTTTGTAAAACAGAGAAATATATGAGGTTTTTGGATTTTTTTTTCCTCTTTTTTTCATTTTAGTATATTCTTTTAGTTTTCTGTGGAATAACAGAAAATTAACTTAAGAAAAAAAACCCTAAAATTTTGGAGCCACAGGCTGATCTTTTTTCACAGAGGTGAACAGATTTTCTAAAGGATGTGCACTTGACACCTAAAAGGACAATCATCATGTGCCCACTGACCCTACCAGAAAGATGCAAGAGGACTTGCTATAAAGAAGCAGAGGACATTACTGGGAATATCTCTCTTTGATAACCACAGTACCAGAAGAAGAAATCGGTTAACAAAGACAAAGGAATAAAACCCCAACCCACAGGCAAAATTGTACTAGCCATGCGACAGCTAGCAAGAGGACAATTCCCAGCTACTTCTGCTGACACCTGAGTGCCCTCATAAGCCTACAGAGCCTATTGCAAGAAGAAGAAAATTCATGGGCTTCTGAAACAAGGAAGAAAAGCTGTTTGTAAGCATAGTGGAGAGGGAAGGTGTCAATTCAGAAGCATGGCTAAGAAACCCTTGCAGAAATGACCTGCACATCACACAAAAAGTGTCTGCAGTAACAGGAAAATGAGAGCGCAGGTCCATCAAAGTGTGAAGCTAGAGGGGTCTCCACACTAGTCTGAGCTGCACACTCAAGCCCTGTGCTGGCGCCGGCCGTCTCTGAAGTGTGTGGGCAGGATGGCAGATCAGGAGCTTGCTCTGCTGCCTTCAGAGAGCCGATGCACGTGCTGTGTCCAACAGCATTGCCGCCGAGTAGCTTAGTAACACTCTAAGCTGCACAGGTCCCCTGTGCACTGGAGGCAGCAGGCTGGGGACTCCCTGGAAATGCTTGACACTGCTTTCCCAATAAAAAGGGACCCTCTCAAGCTGCCGTAACACAGATGAAGTAAACCCGTTTGGGACTTGGTCTGGAGAGGTATTTGGGCAAATGGAGAAAATAATAACAGCCATGACAGAGAGCTGAGCAGACTGATGCCCATAGTATATGCTACGGTCAAGTGACACACAAGATAAATTGTAGGGACGGAAGGGAGCATTCAAAACCATCCTTCATAAAAAAAAAAAAAAAGACCTTGAAGTAGTGAAGGGAATCATGAAAGTAAATGTGCAACAGAAGAGGCAAAGAAACAGAAACTGGCATCTCTGCTTCATGACAAGATTTGGCTTTTATTTTGCTCTCACTGTTGCTACTCCATAATTCATTAGTAATTGAGGCAGGTTTTAGGACAGTGTCTACTGAACGAGCAGCAAGGAATAATTTATAACTTCTGAGGCTGCCACAGCCTGGCCTCACTATACTTTTTCAAGATGAGGCCCCAAAGAAAAAGTTTGCTGGACTCAGCAGGCAGTGATGCTTGGGAATACGTGGCAACTTCCCACTCTTCATAGTACAAATAACACATACTTTGCCTGGATTTCAGGTCATTCAGGAGGAGAACTGCATAAGTGAGTCCTCTGTACTACGATGGTGTGCTACCCATCATGAGATCTCACAACAAGAGGACAAAAGGACCATTTATCAGCCCTGATACTTATTAAAAAGGTTAAGCTGACTCCTATGTATAATTGTATTCTCTCTTAAACAGAAACCAAAGCTAGCTCGCCACACAGTCCCACCCACACAGCCCAGTTGTGTCCCAGAGCAATGGCTGGTAGGACTGGAAGGCAAAGCAATCTCTCCTCTGTAACATGAACTCAAACTGTCAAAGCATCAGCCTTGATGAGGTGTTTTCTGATGAAATTGGACTGAGAAACACCAAAAGCTTGATTCTGATCCCATTAAGTCACAGTTTGGCCAATAGTACAGACAGGGCAAGACTGATGTTCAGCTTGTTTTATACACACTACTAAATAGCCATCAGGTGGAAATGGCTGGAGGCAAAAGTCAGCTACAGATGAGGGTCAAACTGCTAACATGGGGTCCCCCAGTCCTTGTCACCTCTCAAAGGTGATCAGTCTGTTTGGGTGTGAGTATACTGCTGTACCCGAACACCCATGGATTTTTGGTGAATGGACCCAAGCAAGCTTTCTTTGTGACTGATTATGGCTTGCAATTGTATACAGTGTAAAACCCTGTGTGAGATTAAATGGTCTTAATCCTTTCAGTACGGTAAGGTAAAGAAGGTAAAAAGTTGCAGATGACCTTTTGAAATGTCCTCATGTACAAAAGAAAGAGCAAATCCCAAATCTTTGTGTGAGTTAAAGTACTGACGTCAGTGGGACTCCCGTGGGAAGTTTTGGGAGTTTGCCTTAGCAATAACAGAACCACTAAATAGGTCAAAGTTTTGACTTAAAACAGGTCACTATGTCAAAGGTCACAAAGCAAAGTCTGGGATAAAACAAAGGCCAAAGAAAATGACCCTTCTATTAATTTTTGCAAGCGGTGTATTGGGCTTTTGAACCATTCACCAGCCATCTACAAAAGAAGCTATGGGCTGATTACAACAACTGAACTTGAAAGGGGAAGACATTCCTTTGTAGTTCATGTCTGCTGGCTTTGAAGTCACTGTGAGTCTTACCAGTGACTTCAATGGGACTAGCTTTGCACTTTTATATTAGCCATTGTTTTATCCTTACTCCTTTCAAAATTCCAGACAATAACATTTCTTTTCATTGTAATCCTGACAGAGCAATTAGGCTCCAGTCCACACCTGCACCTGACTTTTTTTTCTTACCACTGTATTCTTTGAGCTCCTCTTCTCTGAACAAAATTATGAGATCTGAATTAATGGTGTCTCTCTGCTCTATCTGGTGCCTCTGTTTTTCATGACCTGCTAAAGAACACGAAATTCATCAAGGCTTGTACAGCTGATCTTTGGTTAAGACCGCTGTAGGTTTCACCTACATTTTTATGAGTGTGCTTAACAGAAAAAGAAAAGCTTCTTTTTATCAGGGTAATTAAGCAATAACAGAATGACAGAATGTGGATTAAAGTGTAATCATTCACAGGTGCATACATAGTGTGTTTTTAGTCATGAGTTCAGAAGCTGAGTCGCATTCCCAGTGTAACAAGCTATGAATTATTGCCTCATAATTTAAAAATTTGAAAGCGTTTTTGAAATAATAGTTTCTTTCTCTCTTTAATATATAATCTGGATACCTACACACCACAAATACTCACTGAGAAAACATGAGGTTCTTATTCCTCCAAGCCAGCCCCAATCTCTCATCTTTTTACTGTTGAATGTGCAAACCTCAGAGCTTTGTCTATGCAGTCCACTATGCCCACCAAGACTCCTGTCTAACTCTGGGCTACAGTTGGAACAGCCCCTGCTCCCTTGCTAGTGCCTTCGCAGCATGTGATTGAGGAAAGGTACCCAGAAGAAACCATTTTTCCCAATGTTTGCTTGTACAGGTCCTCCCTCTCACTCACTTGCAGGGAAGCAAAGACCCAAAGAGGAAACATTGGGTGCTTCCAAAACCTGCAGCTACGCTGCCACCCCTGGACATCCAGCCACGGGAAGGATGAGGAGACCCCCGGGCAGTGCCCACTTCAACTCTAGCCAAAACGACCCCTGGCTCTTTGAAGCACCTTTGGGCTGCAGGGTGGTATAAACAATGGCACCAGATGTTTACCATAAAGAGTAGTGGGGAACTTTTATGAGATGTTCTGTTTCACAAAGCTGCTGCACAGAGGGATTCTGCAACATGGAAAGGCTTGTTTGGGAAGGGTAACTAATGGGATTAGTACCACTTACTCTCCAGCTTCTTATGCGATTTATATTTTGCCAAACACTTCCAAGCCATGGCCCTCTCCCTGATTACTGCATGGTTTCACCTTGCAACGGTGGCAGGGGAGCCCCAGAGAGGAATACACAGAGCTCCCTGTGGAGCTAGACCCGATACGAAACCCAGATACAAATAACATGATGTTTTTCCTTCAGCAAAAAAATCCCTATGACAAGAAACAGCACCAGTGATTTCAAAAGACAAAGATTTTTTCCTAGCTTTCTGTAATGTTTGTTACAGGACAAGACCACAGGATTCGTTTATTTATTGGTTTTGCCACTGACTTTTCAAATGGCTAATTAAATCAAAATGAATGGTTGTTGTCCTTTGAAATATTTGTGAATCAAAACTAATGTGGCACTGGGGGGGCCCTGTGAAGTGACGCATGGGATAATTTTGTCCAGTTATTTATTAAGGGCTTGATCCTGCCACAGAATCTATTATACTTATCTAAGATCCTGTACTAAATGCTATACTCTTATTTTTGTGAGTAAATCTTACTGTGACCCATGTGCACAGAACCATGCACTACAGTAGCAAGCGAGATGGTGTAAATACATGCTTATGCTTATAGATTTTTCTATTTTGTTAAATAGAGAACACAACAAAGTTCCTATGCATAGTCTACAGACTTAAAGCTATTTACTGGATGGTACACAGAGACATATATATAGGAGGAGCTACTTGCCATCAACACAGGAAGGTCTGTTTCTTGTAGTCCCAGCCACTTTCCCAGGTAGACAGGAGCATTTTACTGTTTGTGATCTTTCCTCAATTCGATTCTTATTACAGCATCTGTGTGCTGCTATAACTTCACACGTTCCTCCTTCTGGCAAAAAAGAAAAAAGAAAAAAAGAAAAAAAGAAAAAGAGAATATTGACACTCTGATTAGGAAGAGCAGTAGTGGCTAATCAAAGCACCCAGGCGTGCTCCTGTCTGTGTCTCTGCAGGGCTTCTATACAGGTGGGATTACAACGTTACTTCTCCCGTTATACATGCTCCTGAATAAGTCAGGTTCTGCTATATTTCAGTTTTAATAGGAAATGCAGATAAATACCCCTCTACAGCAGATATAGCTTGCCTGTCTTGTATTAGAAGCTTCTCTGATATCAGCAGAATTTTTGGCCTAAAAATTACTGTGTCAAGGTATGGGCCTAAAGAAACGTAGGTAAGATACTACAGTAAATGTGCAACCACTGTTGGCTTATTTTATTCTTGTAATATTGGAGGCCTCTTCCCCAAATATTCTCTTGTAAAAGGACAGGGGCTAAGAGAATCCATCTAGAAATAAGCTTTTCTCCAAATATTTGATTCTATACCAGGACTCAGCCCTTAGGGAATGACAATCAGCGTCTGCAAATTACGGGACGGTCCAACAGCACTTCCCTTTGCTACCCCACTCACTAAATTGGCAGGTGTAAGGGCAGGAAACATTCCCATTGTGTGCAAGATCATCAGGCTTAATTTGTCCTCTCCCAAATTGTTCTTTATTAACATTTGCAATACTTTGATTAGATGGGGAACACAAAGGAATGATAGGCAGATAGACGGTGGCTTAAGGTTTATGACTATTTGGTGCTTGTGCCATATGTTACACACAGAAATGAAGTGTCAAGTGTATTATTCCCATTCACCTTAGCAGTGCGGTGCAAGGAGATGAGACACCACAGTGGGCTAATGCACTGCCCAAGTAATTTCTTGATTCCTCAGTTCAGACTGTATTTAGCTCATAATCACCAAGTATTTAATAGTGCCAGTCTGTTCCCCACAGATATCTGGCTACTTCATGAAATTGCGGCATAAATTTGGCAGGATTTGTTTAAACTTAGCACAAAACATCGTGCACAGCCTACTAAAGAGCAGGATGTGTAAGAAGGTTTGCTAGGTTTGCTAGAAAAACATTATTACTTTATGCTGCTATGAAATTCTAACTGTACGTTGCTTTTACTATAACATAAAAAGCATTACTCCTATCTTTGTCTTTCACTCTCCTTTTTGAAACAACTTTGGGAGCTTTTGAACAGTACAGTAACCCTGCAGGCAGGTAGGAGAATAAGCAGTGCTGAGACGCTGATCCACGTCTGGCTGTGAACAAGGGGTTTTGGAAGAGGTCAGGGAGTCCAGTGGCATCTCCCTGCACAGGAGCGTGTCCTGTTACCTGGTGATTCTACAAATGTGGGATTTCTGTAGCGAAGCGCTGGTGTAGATGGGCAGGGAGGAACATCCCTTGACTATATGCTGTTAAGGTCATATGGTGGTATGTCATAAAGTGTACCCACAGTATGAAGTGGTACAACAACTACCAATGAACAGGGACTCCACAAAGTGTGGAAACGTTTTATAATATTAAATTTTCAAACAACTGACCTTCCAGGGTGAGTCAGTGGATGAAAGCCTGTGAATGTCCATTAGAGTAAATGAGCTTAGGTTGCATGGTCATGGGGTTAAGCACTGATGATTTTGCAAGCATGAGACAAGACTAACTCTGCAGTAAATATTTAACTCATCTGGAGAGAAATGCTGCTTCATGTATTAGTTATTAGGTGCATTTGGCCTGCTGACACAAGCTTTTTGAAAGCCAATAGGTGCCACAGAAGAGAGATCCCAACAATTCAGAAAGCCATCATCTGACAAACGGTCTTTTAAGTGTTTCTTAGGAGTAAGAGGAATTGTGACAATCAACCCAGCCCCAAATGCTTGTATTTTTCTATGAAGCAATTCTTCAGATAAACTCCCTGTTCTCCCATCCAAATTATATTGAAAGCAATGAAAACACTCCCATTGGTTTAATTCATCTTATGGTCATGCCCTAAGAGAAGAAAGATTTGTGATTTTATTGATTGCAACTTCAACAATAAAGATAATGTACGCAGTAATAAGCATTTGTAATTTTAGACTACGTAGACTGTGTGGTAAATATCTGTGAATAAGCTAAATGCTTAATTTTCTCTATTAATTTGCTGTATGAGTACTAATAACAATATGAGCTAGCTTTGCTTATTTGGTTATCTATTCAAAATAATGGGTTGTGGTGGATGAGCTTTATAACACCTTTAATTGTTATGTGGAAACTCAAGTTTCTGCAGCAATAAAGAATTTAACTCAAAGTGTGTAGTTGTTTAGGAGTGGCAAAACATAATGAAACTATAAAACCAATGAAAAAACACTTTTTTTTTAACCACCAGACAGTTAAGTACATTAATTGGAACTTTTATCTGCATAGGCTATAACTGTAATGCAAATAATAATAACAATAACAGTAATAAAAAGAACCTTCCCAGTGCTGACACAGAAGAAAAAATCCATCTCATACGGAGAAAGTTATGTGTGTTACACACCCAGTTTTCCTGCAAAATTTGTTATGTGGGATCAGACTTTTCCATTAAAGCATGTTTAGCCTATGAATTACCACTGGATAGCATTGCATGCAATGTGTTTTGCTGGTATATATTTTAGTAACCATGCATGTGCATGTTAGACTTTTTAAAAGCTATATACAAAATGGGAATAGACAGAGATACCCAGACAAATACAAATGGACACAGTGAGACTAGGCAAAAACCTGATTTAAAAAGCACACTCTTGATTACCTTAGTCACAGAAATATATATACCACAAATATACTGTGGGAGGAGGTTCAACTTAAATCAGTATTTCAGCTGTACAGATGAGGAAACAAGTTAGAGCAGGGAGAGGAACATGAATCAGTCTTCAGTTTCCAATGAAAAAAAATTAACATGTTTAGATGTATATGTGAAGTACCTTTTTATTCTGTGATTTTTATTTTTTATTTCCAACTTTCTTTTTTTTTTTG